GTCATTGGCCACGTGCGCGACAACGCCAAGCCGCTCGCGCTCTATATCTTTAGCAAGTCGAACGGCTTTGTGCAGCACATTCTCGCCACTACGTCGTCCGGCAGCGTGTGCGTGAACGACACGATGGTCCAAATCTCCAACCCAAATTTGCCGTTTGGCGGCGTCGGCAACTCTGGCATGGGCGCATACCACGGACACAAGTCGTTTGAGGTATTCAGCCACGCCAAGTCGGTGCAGTACAAGCACTTTATCTTGGACATTGCGCAGCGCTACCAGCCGTACACGCCCTTTGCGCGCCAGCTCCTCGGCGCGGCCTTGTTCCCGATTCCCCGCTCGTGGCAGCGCGCGTCCGTCTTTGTGGCGCTTGTCGCGCTCGTCGGCATTGTGCTTGCTATCGTATATGCCTAAGCTTGTATATGCCCAAGTGCTTTTCTGGCTTTGTACAACCCAATGATAATATTCTACTCTAAAACGTCTATTTAATGAATGTTCCGAGCATTGACGATCGGGCGACGCATCTTTTGTGGACCTGGTCCGAATCAATAGTCGATACATGTATTTTGTGTTAAATGTTGAAATAACGTGAGGTCAAATTTTGCACCTGGGTGTATGTGACGGTCACCTGCTCGGACTTTCCAAAGTGAATTGCTACTGGAGCACTGCAGCATGCTACGCACGCCGTCGCTGATGTCATGGCATGAGCATTGATGAGCATTGCGGACTGTGAAGAATGAGATCCAGTTGTTCATGGCTTGTGCAAGACCATCTGGTTGCAGATGGTCTGGTCAGCGGTCTGGTCTGGATAGGCTGTCTGGATGGGACTGTTGTGTTCCAGTTGCGTCAAGGAAGCGCCGAGGAGCACGAGGGATCGAGCGCAGGGGCTTTACACCATATATCGTCTCCAAGGCGTTGGCTGCTTCACACTCTCTGGACGCCATCCGGATATCCGCGGCCATTTCTCGCCATTTTCGTTCACCTCGCGATAGCTATGCTACAACAGTGGACAATTTCGTTGTTTTTGTTGGCTAGTTTGCTGCATGTAAATTGCTCGGTATATAGATTATACCGGTATTAGCTAAGGTGAGTACTCGACTAATACCCACATACGCGTGCCGATTCGTCATCGGTATGATGAGTATTTTGTCATGTCCGCATCATCCATCACAGTGGATCAGTGAAACATTTGCTGGCTTTCACACATTTCATTTTTGATCTTTGTACCATGAACACAAGCATTCTCTCTACCAAGCCGACGCTGCCATTGCTCAAGCCCATGGCGGCGGCGACGATCCAGGACCACGTTGCGGCGCTGCGGACGGCGTTCCGCAACGGCGCAATGCGGCCGCTGGCCGCGCGCAAAGCGGCGCTGCTCCAGCTCCGCACGCTCCTCACCGAGGGTTTCGAGCTGCTCCAAACTGCAATTTGGGCCGACTTGCACAAGCACGCGACCGAGACGTACGTGACCGAGACGTCGGTCGCCCTCCTCGAGATCCAAGAGCATTTGGACTATATGGACGAGTGGGCGGCGCCGAAGCGCGTGAGCACCAACCTCCTCAACGTTCCTGGATCGTCCTTTATTCGCAGCGACCCGCTTGGCGTCTGCTGCATCTTTGACACGTGGAACTACCCGATCATGCTCCTCCTCATGCCGCTCATCGGGTGCCTCAGCGCTGGCAACGTCGCGCTCGTCCGCCTCCCGACCGACGGCAGCTGCGACAACGTCACGGCGGCACTTGCGCATTTGTTTGACAAGTACATGGACCGCAACGTGCTGCGGTACGTCACGGGCGGCATTGACGCCAACAAGGCGCTCCTCCAAGAGAAATTTGACCTGATCTTCTGCACTGGCGGTATGACAACTTGTCCAATGTAAAGCGAGACGATTGATTGGTGCAGGGTGTACCATCGGCAAGATCGTAGCGCGCGCCGCCGCCGAGACGTTGACGCCCGTGGTACGTTCTCGTGGCGTTCGCGAGTGCAAAGACTGACCAGCGGGGATGAGTAGATTCTCGAGCTCGGTGGCAAGTCGCCGGCGATCATCGACGCTTCAGTCGACTTGCTCGTGACTGCCCGGCGTCTCGTCTGGGGCGCCTTCACCAACGCTGGCCAGACCTGCGTCCGCCCCGACTACATCTTTGTCCACGCGTCCATTGGACCTGCGCTCGTCGCCGCCATGAAGCAAGCGACTGTCGACTTCTTTGGCGCCGACCCGCAAGCGTCCGACTCGTACGGGCGCCTCGTCAACAGCGCGCAATTCGACCGCATTCGCCGCATCTACGAAGCCGACAAGACATTCGCGGTGCACGGCGGGCAGTCGGACGCGTCGGATCGGTTTTTCGGGCCGACGATGTTCAATTTCGAGTCGGACTATGCGACATTTGCAGCAAGCGCGAGCATGGACAGCGAGCTCTTTGGCCCGCTTTTGCCGATCTGCTACTACACGGACGTGAACGCAGTCATGGACCACGTCAACGCGCAGCCCAAGCCGCTCGCCCTGTACATCTTCAGCAAGAAGAACGCCTTCCAACAGCACATGCTCGCCAACACATCGTCCGGCAGCGTGTGCGTGAACGACACGATGGTGCAGATTTTGAACCCGAGTTTGCCGTTTGGCGGCGTCGGCAACTCTGGCATGGGCGCATACCACGGCCACAAGTCGTTTGAGGTATTCAGCCACGCCAAGCCGGTGCTGTACAAGCACTTTATCTTGGACATTGCGCAGCGCTACCAGCCGTACACGCCCTTTGCGCGCACGCTCTTTGGCCTCGTGCTGTACCCGGCTCCGCGTGCATGGGTCAAGGCGCTGCAGCGTGCACTCTCGGTCGGTGTCGTCGGCCTTGTGCTGGCACTCGTTTGGAGCCGCAAAAGTTAGGCTACCTCGACTATAGTGCTTTGTCGCTGCAATTGTACAATGTATTGGATCATGTGGAAAATAGTTATTTGAAAAGGATGTCATTCCTCTCTTGTGCCGTTTCGCCAAGAAGTGCGTGTGCCGTCGCAGGCGCAACGTCCCAGCCACCAACGCGGCGTAGCCACCCAAAAGCGAAATAGCCCGTTGAAAACGTATGACCATCTTTTAGTGCGCTGCCCATTCATCCGCGCGGTCTGGCGCGCTTTTGACCCGATGCGCGATATTTGAAGCTGCAACTCCCGACGTCGGTCGGTGGCTTTCTCTACGATGCCGTCGCTCTGCCGTTCTCAGTCCACAAGCCGACCATCCGTGCCCTCTGGCCGATCCTGCGCGCTTGCGTTTGGTACAGTCTTTGGCTTGAACGCAACAACCGCGAGTTCCGCACGGCATTGACGCCCCTTCCCGCTGCTGCGCTCGCGATCAAAGCCGCTACTATCACGCGACTGCATATCCGGCACTTGGCTCGCAGCGCTGTGGTGCCTTCGCTTGCCGAGTCGCTCCACGCCCTACGCGCCGACCCTTGGTGTGCTCGCTACCTCATTCCCAACTCAATCCCGAGCCCCGACCAAGCGCCCTCAGCTTGACGTACCGGCCAAACCTCACGAGCGCTCTAGGAAGTCCACCATCTTCACTATATAATTGCATGTTAATAGCTCATAAACGCGAAATAGCCCGTTGTGCCTTGTGTGATTGCGTCCCTGCTCGAACAGCAACGGGCGCATCGATTCCGTGGCGATCTTGGTTGAAAAATCGAACGGTTCTATTTCTCAGCCAAGCACAGCACTGGACCAGCCACGACGCTGCCGTTAGCATTTGGCACAGTTCAATTTGACTCAAGATGCGCACCCCGGAAGCGACTGAGTTTCCAATGCAAGCAGCGCTGATCCCGGGCGGGTATGCGCCGCCGCTGCTGGTGCCGACGACGACCGACGCCATGGATGCGATGTTTGCGACGCTGCGTCTCTCGTTCCACGCCGGACTCACGCGGCCGTTGGCAGCGCGCCGGAACCAGCTCCAGCAGCTCCGCTTGCTCCTCACGGACGGTCTCAGGACGCTGCAAAACGCGCTGCTGGCGGATCTGCACCTGCACCCGAATGAAGTCTTTCTGACCCAAGTCGCAGCCTGCCTCAGCACAATCCAAGACCACCTTGACCACCTCGCTTCCTGGGTGGCGCCGCACCGCGTGAGCACCAACTTTTTCAACATGCCCGGGTCGTCGTACGTGTGCAAGGACCCACTTGGTATTTGCTGCCTCGTGGGTACGTGGCGCAGCCCGATCGCGTCGATGCTCTTGCCGCTCGTGGCGTGCCTTGCCGCCGGCAACTGTGCCCTGCTGCGACTGCCATTGGACGGCACCACCAACCACACGAACGCAGCTTTGGCGTTTCTCGTCGACAAGTACATGGACCCGAGTATCGTGCGCTTTGTCTCGGGCGGTCATGCGACGACCAGCGTGCTGCTCACGCATGCGATCGATCTGGTGCTGTGCGACGGCGGTACGTTGCCTTCTCTTCACTATCATTGCGATAGTCTTGCTATCTCTAGTCGAAGTCTTGGAGCAGAGAATGATCGCCAAGGGCGCTGCCGAGACACTTACGCCCGTGGTAGGAGCCTTTCTTTTTCGTTCAGTCGAATGCTGATGCTAGTCAATGGGAATAGGTGCTTGGACGCGGCGGCAAGTCGCCCGCCATCGTGCACTCTGACGCGCACCTCGCGACAACCGCACCTCGGTTGGTCTGGGGCGCGTTCCTACACGCCGGACAGTGCCTCTCTCGACCCGACTACATCCTCGTCGACGCAACGATTGGCCCCAAGTTTGTCGCGGCCCTTCGCGACGCCATCGTCGACGCCTTTGGCGCTGTGCCCGAAGCCTCGGGCTTCTTCGGGCGCCTTGTCAACGACGCGCAGTTTGACCGCCTCGACCGACTCTTTGAAGCCGACCGGCCGTTCCTCGTGCATGGCGGCGCTTGCGACCGGGCTGAGCGCTTCTACGCGCCATCGGTGTTTGACTTTGCGGATGACACGCGGGCGTTTGAGACGAGCGCGTGCATGCAAGAGGTCGGACCGATCGTCGGACCGCTGTTGCTTGTTGCCTACTACAACGACCTCGACCAGGTGCTCGCCCGTCTCCGAGCCTACCCGACGCCGCGCGCCCTCTATCTGTTTACGCAGAGCCGCCACGTCAAGCAGCTCGTGGTGGCCAACGCGGTCGCTGGAGCCATGTGTGTCAACGACACGGTTGTGCAGGAGACGAGTCGCCATCTCCACCGCTTTGCAGCCATGTTTTCGCAAACCAAGTGCGTGTTGTACAAGTCGAGCTACTTTGACGTGGTCCAGCGCTACCCGCCGTACACGCCCACGCGCCAGCGGCTGCTGCGCGCCTCGCTGCGCCCCGTTCCGCGTATGACGTGGATTGTACTGTGGATCAGCGTCGCCGTAGTCGTGCTGGTGGTCGCTCTCGTGCTCGGCCTCGTGCTCTAAGCTGCTAGGAAGCTAGGAAGCTATGTGCATTAACTCTACTTGCAAGGGCGCATTCAACATGCACTTGTCGCGTGACGTTCTTGATACTGGTAGTGCTTTTTGACACGCCACCTCATCCTACGCAGTCCACAGCGGCCATGTCAACCGTTGCTGCGAATGGAGGACGCCCAAGGTTGAGGAGGTTGGTGCTCACATACTTCGGTGCTGCCCACTCACTCGTTTCTGTAATCCAAATGCTTTTGGATTTGGAGAAGCGCAACGGACGTCTCGGTCGCGTGCTTGTGCATGTCGGCCTCTGAAGCTCTTTGGAGCAGCTCGAAACCCTCGGTGAGGAGCACGATCCGCGTTGCTTTGTGCGCGGTCAGCAGACGCCTCGCCGTTGCCTTGGGCGTGAGCAGTAGTAGCGTCAGCTGGGCGGGGACGACGAGTTTTGCTCGCGGCAGAGCGACGAGGAATCGTTGAACACGCGTGCGGTTTAGGATACTTCCCACTACACCACAACAACTCTGCCCACGCAGCTCCAACTTTATATTGTTTTGCTGGACGCTTCATATTTGAATCACACACGACTTGGTAGACGGTAGCGAAAATGGCTCGGGATCATTAAATGAAATTTGCTATGGCTGATCGCTGCTGAGGCTCAGCAGCGATCAGATGCCAAGGTATTGGATGTGCACAGTTGTCAGTCAGCCTGCACCGTACCGGACTGCCGACGATACCAGCTCTAGAGTTGATGTGCGCTCGAAGGGCGTCTTGAAAGCCAAAAGAGCGAGGTCCGTGGGAATTGCCATTGTCTTTGCGGCGTCGCATCTTGGGCAGGTTTTTGTATACGGGCGAGTTGCGTCGGGTCCTGGTTCCCGCACCTCAGACCAAGAGCACACGCATCTCTGGGCGCTGATCACGGGGTGGCGACAGGCGCTCCGAATTCGATCAGCCAGCTCAAGGCGTCACTGCGGATGCTCGCCTTGATGGCTTGCCTCGAGTCGTGCGCGTGGCGTTCTCTGTCGTTGAAAGGGTCAACGTCTCGAGTTTTGTTTTTGTGCGAGCGCTTACCATGTCGCCCAAGCTATGGCGCCTCCACATCTGCGTGTTGCTTCCTTCCAGCTCACGGCTTCTCCTGTCCGTTGGAGGTGGCTGGGCGGGGAGATTTTAACGCAGTGCAGTTGTAGTTGACACAACAAAATCGAGTTGACAACGTTCCCTCAAGCAAGGTGTCTTGACCACTTCACTTTTGTTTTTGATCGCCTGCCATCACATCGCTTCAGCTTCTTTGCCCACCCAAACACGCACGCGGTCGTGCCGGCGGCTGCCACTGCCGCCCGCTACGACCGTGGCCACCCCGCGCATTGCTCGCATCGCGCAGGGTCGCACTGCCGGCCCCACCGGCCCGCCAGTCTCTCTAGCTGGTGACGTCTACGAACAGCGCCGACACGGGGCTGCACTTCCACGTGGTGAAGCTCCCGCTTCTTCATGGTCGAGCTCGTTCACTTTGATCGCACGAGCGAAGACGTACAGTCGCGGCTCATGGAACTCTCGCTCGCGACCATTGTGTGGCACCTCGCGTGGTGCACCATGGACAGCGGCGCGATCGTCGGGCGCATGGCCATGGCGGTGCAGCCGATGTGGACGCACGTCGTTCCCAGCTCGATTAGCACCGTGATGGCGCTCGTGCCCGCAGCGACGGGCAGCCATGCCGTGCGCGACCACGTCTGGATGCCCGTCGACAAGAAGTCGTTCGCCGTGCAGCTGTTCAACACGACGGAAGGGCCGCTCGGGGACATCCGCGCTAACCCGAGCACGAACCGCCTCTACATCGTCTCGACGAACGACCAGGAGCCCACGTCATCGACGGCCGCGTCCAACTCGTCGGGGCCGAGCGGTTCTCGAAGCCTTTCATGAGCAACGCCGCTCACGGATCTCGTTCGCAGCGTCACCCAGCGCTGCCTCGACGACCCTATGATGTCGAGCGGATGGCCCCGCGTCCCGCGCAACACCACGCCGTCGCCGCCGCGACGAGGTCGGACTCGGGGACACCCGGGCGCAGCGGGAAGAAGGCCAAGCGCAAGGCGACAACGGTTCTCCAAGACCCAAGGCGAACGGCAAGGTCTTGATCGAAGAGCTGAAGCATGCCTCTTCTCCAGTAGCTACCCGTCGCGACCTTTATAGCGTTATTGATAACATAATGCTACTCATCAACTTTTGCAATCGATACCAAGCCTTTACCACTAGCCTTTACTTGCGTTCTGGTGGCCTAGTACGGGAATGGGGACTCTTGCTTGGGATATGTTTTGTGTGCAAATACCATCCAAGCGCAGGGGTTGGTTCAGGATACCATTTCGTACCATCTCTGCCACCGCTCCTACTTACGCCCATGGTGGCGGTGCGATGCGTTGATATACACCTCACTGAGGGTTTTGAGGTGCTCCATTTGGCTACCTGGGACATCTTGCATAAGCCCAAGCATGAGGTGGTGCCCATTGCCTGGGACAGGCAAGTGAACGTGTGCACTCTTGACTCGTAGCTAATGCCGCCCCTCTGCCAACGATAACGCATC